ATGCGCAGCCCAGGCGAGACTAATACCCGTGCCACATAGGCAACTCGAATGCCATTTACAACGAATGACATTCGTGTGATCGACGAATCGGCCCGCGATGTGCCGCGCGTGGAACACCCCACGCTCGGAGTGTCGCGCGCTGATTGGCCGATCGTTCAAATGTCATTCGTTGGAAATGGCATTGGAGTTGCCCGTGTGGCACGGGTATTACCTGGCTGTCAGAAAGCAGCTTTCGGTTATATGTATTGTTATGAGCGTGTGGGTTTCAGATGGTTTTCCCTCAAAAGGATGGGTTGCACATTGTAAGCATGTATGCGCGTCACATTGTAACCATGTACACTCTAAAAAGGGGTGTAAAAGGGTGTATCGTTACACCCTTTGTCTCATATAATACACTCGAAAACTTAATTTTGACATACAGAGCCCTAGAGTCGAACAGACGGCCCCAACTTTTGCGAGGGGCTGGAAAACGGTACGATATAACCTTTTATATAGCTAAAGTACGTATTAAAGACCACATAAAGGAAACACCGAGTTTTTACAGTAGGGTAAAAAAAAAACGATTATTTTTTTGTTGTCAGTAAAACGTACATTAGCTATTTGAATAAGTTGTACCACATGGCTATCAAGCCCCTGGTAAAATTTCGGGCCGTCTGTTCGACTGTAGGGCGCTGTACGTCGAATTGAAGTTTGGGGGTGTAATATATGGGACAAAGGGTGTAGCGATACAACTTTTTTTCTTGAGAGTGTATTTCAATGCCGTGCTGTAAGCTATTACAACTTTTACCTTGCCTGATTTACGTGTGCTAACGTTGTTTCTTGCTCTAAACGATGTGAAATAGTTCCTCGTTTTCTTCTTTGAATTTTATAAAGCATTACTTGTTCAGCCCACGTTGTCTCATTTTTTTACTTAAGTTCAATGTTAAAACGCTTGATAAAAATTGTCATGGCTTATAAGCTATTTTCTACAAGTGAACGTCGCGTCGTCCTCGGATGATCGTGGCGGCCATGAAGAAATACAAGATTCTCATCTCTTTGCGACCGTCGCTTGGGTGGCTTGTCGCATAAATGAACACAAAATGAGTGACAAGTGAAGCGAGCTCATTAAGGACAAGAAGAAAAAGACTGCCAGAAAAGAAGACAGAGAGGTTAACCTGGGGTACTTAAAAACATATTAAAACAATCTCGGGCTTTAGTATGTGCCGTTTTTGTTCCGCCATAAACTAAAATAAAAAAAAAAAAAACAGCTTTTGAGCTTTAGATATTCCCGGACAATATCTAATGTTCAGCCTTTTGAAACAAAGAAATAGGCATTTTACTTAAAATACTCACTATCCGACGGACCGAAAGTCGCAGCTAATTCTACGCGGAAACAACTTGCAATCCCCTTCTTGAAAGTCGCAATTGTTTTTATGACAAGGCAGAGTAATGTAGCTTGTACCGTTAAATACATTGAAACATCATGTTGCCAACGGTCGTGCCGCAGCGTAATTGGTGCCACGGTACAACCGCTGGCAGGTCCTAGCTGTATCAGGAAATCTATGTAAACTCTACCAAAGCGGTGCCAAAAATTCATAATTTCGCGCCTGCAGCCGCGCACGCGCATACCTTCTGGGTAAAGGCTAGCCCACATGGTGCGCTTTTCTCCGCGTCTGCGTCGCGTCTGCGCCTGCGCTTTGACGTCACTTCCGGCGCCGGGACGAAACGCAGCGTTTTTTGGCGCATTCCGGCGTATCTGGAGGAGCCAGATATTTTGCGTCCACGCGTCGCGTCTCGCGCTGCGTCCAGAAGGCAACAACCAATGAACCGCCGTGTTCACTAGTTGCAAGGAGCGTTTGAATTTTCTCCACTGTTTTCGCCACTGTAGGACTGTAGTTTTCGCCACGGACCTCGCGACAAAGGCGATATTAATAATGATGATAATACTTTTTATTTGCACATATTGCGATACCCACTCGGCAGCGTGCGAGGCTGGGCAAAAAGGTTGAGACCCTTACGCAGGTGGGCCTGCTAGCCCGCCGCCAAGTAGGGAAAGGGACACGGCAAAGGAAAATAAATAAAAACACTCAAAACAGAAAGATACACACACAAAAACGGGTAGCAGCCCTGTGCCATTCCAAGGCAGAGCGCACGCGCGCACACACACACACCCGCGCGCGCAGAGTTTACACAATTTGCACGCTCGCGGCCTTAAATAAAAACGGCTTTTAGGCCCCTCCAACGCTAGCAGCAGGGCGAACATGGGTAGTTACGTCCTTCCCCCCGAGGATATCAGTTTATCATACCTTTTACACAAGTCCAGGGAATCCTCTCTGCTCCGCGGGAGAGGCTGACGCTGCTTCAGCGAAACAGAGAGGACCTAGCGAAGTACAAAAGCGTCCTGCACTCTGGCAGGCCAAATGTAAAGAATACAAGGACACCGAGAGACAAAGGTACAAAATTAACACTACCGGCAACAACCGGAACAACGTAACCTCTGTAGCGGCCAGCGGCCGCTACAGAGGGTACTGTAAATGTTTTGGCGCGGGCGACGGTGATGCCAATGGCGTATCGAAACGTGGATGAGGCGTACGCACTAAAAAGGATGAAAATTAGTTAAATTGAGCTTCATTGCGATTGCTGTAATAAAAATGAGTGCTTACTATTACTAAAATTAAATATTACGGCATGTAGCCATCATTTACCGCGCGATTTCTATTTAATATTTGCTTTTGTTTCTTAAGCGCGTCCGGCTACGTTGGGCAGACGCTTCGGAAACGCAGACGCGAAGCGCTGCACGGTAGCGCTGCGTGTGGTATGACTGGGCGCACGCGTCCTGCTTAGCGCGCGCGCCAAGCCGAGACGCGCGTCTAGACGCACTAAAAAACGCGCCATGTGGGCTAGCCTTAAGGCGCCGGTGTCGACACCTGTCGCGCTCAATACCACGCGCCTCAGGCGAGCGGCTCCGGTCCCAACACTACCCAAGTATTCTAGTACACTGTAGCCTGCTGTACCTTTGATCGCTGCGAGGCTCGTGCTGTTTTGTCCGAGGGCGGAGCTCGGTCCCGTCGGTGCTGCTCGTGCCGCGCGCTTAATACGTCATTAGCTCCTGACGTTGCGTGAACCACCCAACGGGCTTGAGTGTCACTTAATGGTACGTTTACACTTGCGGATCCGCCAGCGAATCCGCCCAGCTTCTGCCGCTGGGGCGAAACGCTGGGCGGAAAACGCGGCGGGGAGCCGTATTGGTCCGGGACCTACTTCTGCCGCCGAACGAGGCGTTTCGCTGACCGGGGCGTTTCGCTGACCGGATGTGACATTCTTGCGCAGCGCGACGCTGCCTACGTCATGAGTACGCGTTCTTCCGGGAGCAGCAACGCCCGGGAGAGACAGTCTAGGTGGGAACTCTCGCGCCTTCTCGTCATATTTGACGGGATGCTACGAGAACAGCTGCAGCAGCCGGCGCAGCCGCCGCCGCTCGAAAGAAATAGATGTAAACGCAACCCGTTCGTCGTCGCCGCCGCCGGGAGCGGATCCGCTCCCGCGGCAGCGGATCCGCTCCCGCGGCAGCGGATTTCTTTTCAGGTGTAAACGTACCATAAAGCGGTAAACCGCAACCCGAGGCCTGTAGCGGAAATGGCACCCCCCCCCCCCCCCCCCGGTTGCCGCCATCTTGCCCGTTTGCCACATTAGTGATCACGTGACGTCAAGATGGCTGCGCCCAGAGGTGGGCCAGGTCAGATTGGCCAGATCATGATAAGCAGAGGGGCCCTCTGGGGATGCGCTCCAATCTTACCCGAATTGATCGGAGTTACTCCGGTGGTTCATGTCACGTGACAAGACTGAAAGAGCAACTGGACGCGAGTAGGTTTTTGAACGCCAAGGTACAAAATATTTACTCTCGAGTGAGATCAAGTAAATTTTGGACCGCAGCCCTGCTTACCGTAATCTGGCCAATCTGATCTGGCGCACCTATCGGCGCAGCCATCTTGTAGTCACGTGATCACTAATGTGGCATATGGTTAGGATGACGGCAACCGGGGGGTGCCATTTTTGGCCGCTGGTTTACCGCTCTAAGTTTACTCAAGCCCGTTGGAGCCACCGCCCCAAGTCTTGCGCTTTGGCGCCACCAACACACTTACGTAACTAAAAAGTAAAGAAAAAAATCATCCCTATCGACGGCCAGTGGCGCCACTATAGTCGGTGGCAGGTCAAGAACGAAGTGGAAGCTCCTCCCACCCCTTCCCCCTTCAGCGGTACGAGTGGTGGGGAGGAGGTGACCTCCTCTCCAGCGTTCGCTTCTGCTAGAGTGTAAAGAAGTGGGAGGAGCTTCCACTTCGTTCTTGATTTGTCACCGACTATAGGGTAAGCGGCACCCGGGCGGTGGGTCGCCGCGACCGCCCCCCCCCCCCCCCCCTCTCCCCTGGCTTGTTGCTCGCCTCAACACCCCCCTGAGTGCTGCACCCAGGCCGGTTCTTTGGACGCACGTTCTTTGGCCACCTGGTGAAAACTCTTAAGGCCCGTTCACACACTTGCAAGAAAGTACGACCGAGTAAGACAAGACCGGTTTTTAAGCCTCTTGCGACGTGTTAGGACCAGCTCCGCAGCAGCGCATCCGGTCCTACGCTGTCGCAAAAGGCTTAAAAACGGGTCTTGTCTTTCTTCGTCCTACTCGGTTGCAAGTATGTGAACGAGCCTCTAGCTTGATACGTTCAGAAACCGGTATATGGGGTCCCAGCAAGCAGACATCGATCCCATTGCTTCACTGTCTAAATAGCAGCATAGTAGCGATTTTTTTTATACTTTAGTTACTTGTATGCGAGACATATGTGGGACATGTGTACTGCGCCGTCGCTTGGTTGCAGATCGGGTTTAGTAAGAGCTGGCACAGGCAGTAGTGTCCAATTTGAACCCCGCACTACCCTTCGGTAGGCGGCGTCAAACATTCAGCCCTGTGGCCTTGTTTTCTAGATGTTGTGTGGATTTCAGCGAGACTCCAACACCTGCCTGTTTTCCCGCAGTGTCTGGTGGGAAGCCCTCATTCCGAACTTGTGGCCGTCTCTTCCACCATATATGTTGACGAAGAGCCCGAGACGGTTTCGTCGACTGATAGTCCTACATTGTGTGTCGAGGCCTCGGTGGATACGACTGAGCCGTCGTCCGTCCCGCAACGTCACGCGGCCCAGGAGACGGTGAGAAAAAGCAACATTTTCTGGATTACAAGGCGACCGTAATCCTGCATTTTCCATCTCACCTACCGTGGAAGAAAATCATGAGTCATTCCACTTTCTAAAGGTCGATGGCCAGCTAAGCTGTTTAGCATGCGACACAGACGTGGCACAGAATTTTGAACAAAGGTACGAACACATTTATTGTCTTGATCGGAGGTCTTCGTGACGAAAGTTACGCACTCACGTGACGAGGACTATCGCCGTCCCGAGGATCGGGAGGAAAATAGACACGCGCGACGGGACCGCCACCCGGCGGAAGGAAAGGAAACTAGGCACGCAAGCGGGGGAGCAAGGCTTGGAACGACGACAAAGAGAGGGCGGTGCGAGCCTTCTCTGAGGTTTTGTTGACACACACGGAAAATCCACGGAACCCTAGCCATAAACATCTTCGCTGTAAAAAAAAAAAAAAAAAAAAAAAAAATACGCACGGTAGACAGATCGGACAACAGCTTCGGCGTTCGGCTTAAACTCGCGATAAATTAGTGAGGGCACGAGTTGCGGGAGAATGCCGACGCAGCACTCGTATCTACAAACATTGCATTTGTCTTTCGTCAGACCGATTTCAGAGCACGCTCCCGTTATTTGAGACCCCCTCAGGCTACCTCGCACATAAGTTAGAGCGATTTCTAAATCGAGCGCTAAGAATTGTGGCAAGCGACTATACAGCCCCTGTACAAGGTGCACTGATATGAAACAAAGATTAGGTTGGAACCTTCTTAAAAACAGACGAAGGCGCTTATTATTTTTTTACATAATATATATATATATATATATATATATATATATATATTTACTATTTAATATACATTTTTGTACACTATATGTCATGCGGAGATGTAGCAAATCAGCTTTTAAGTTGGTTGATCTCTTCGTGACTCTAAATAAACAACTATTCCCTCTCTCATTATATATCATGTGCATACAGGTATCGAAAAAGTTTTCTACATCCTGACACCGCATCATGTGTCGTTTAGGATGAATTATTCTAAGCAATAAGTTGAAGGACATCGTAACTCTACGAATTGTTTTTCTCTCTCGATGCTTGTTCGAAATATTCGTGATTCGAATGTATAAAACATTTTTTATGTTGCCGATGCTGATCGTTTTAAGGATACACTAGGAAGTTTTAGTAGACCGTATTTCCCCCTCCGCTAACCCTCCGCAACGAAGAAACCGCCACTGCGCCTGCGTGCGGATGGCCTTGGCTATAGAGTTCTGGGTAGCGGAGGGGCTTAGCGGAAGGGGAAACACGGTCTACTAAAACTCGCTATGGCAAATTATCCTTGTGTTACCGAATTTACGAGTTTGGTCCTAACGGTGTTTTTCAAACTGAAAGGCTCTACTGGCAATAACGAAAAAGTGACGCCAGCGACAGACATGGATTCACTCTTTTGAATGTAGAATTTGTTCCCGACTGATTAAAAGGAGTTTTATGGTGCCAAACGAATGCTTTCGAAGCTCGCTCCCGCACTCGTGAACAGCACGAAACCAGTACTCGGCTTAGTCAATTTTTTAGACTGCCTGCAAGAGATGTATAGTTCTGTTTTTTTCTTTACATTTTTAGGTGCTTTGTTATGACTCGAGAGACGCTTGTTTCGGAACATGGCTTGTGCATAACCATAGCCTCCTCTATACTCACAAAGCCTGACAGTTCGACGACGAAGCCATAGAGTGCCCGGTCGCAGATTTCGAGCGCGAGGATCTGGTACCACAGAGCATTTCTCGGGGAACCTGGACGTCGGCGCACAGCTTTTGAAAGCGGCGAGGAGCCGAAATACACTTGTTCGTTCGGGAGAAGTGTGTTTCGGGATCTCGCCGCAGCGAGGCGCCAGTCACGTGGCTGTCCTCTCATCCGTTGCCTTCCACTCCACCTTCTCTATTTCGGCGGCCGCGTCTCGTGGGGGCCTGCCAAGCTTTGTCAGTATATAGGAGGCTATGGCATAACCGGACGTTACAGCACCGCTTTTACGGTCGTATCGCATGGATGGTGCAACCAGCTTTACGTAGTCGCATCTTGCGGATGTGTTCGAAAACAAAGGGCCTCCAGTTTTCTTTGAATAATTATAGATCTAATATTTGACTAAAGGCTGTTGGCAACTTTAAAAGTAGCCAATAACATTTAGTATATATTTAGCTATCGAAACTGAACTCATTTTTAGCAAATACACGCTTTACTCTTTCCAGCATGCTATGCATTACCTCCAAATTTAAAATAGTAAAAAAAAAAAAACTTCCGATGGGGGTGATGTTAAAACCGTGACGCCACATGTTCGCTACGCTCACACCAACAAACTTCTTGTAACCCTTTTGGAGGGAGTTGTACTTGGATGTGCTGGATCCATATTACAACATTTCGCGTCAAGCTTTCAGTGTTGACAGTAGAGCTTTTCTAGTGCCAAATGTCAAACTTCAATAACTACGCAAAGAAAGATTTTTGTGTCTTGGAATTTGGGCTACTAGTTCAAGTGCGTCTAATAAGGTATTTAACCAGTTTTGAGGAATAACAGTAATAATAAAAAAAATGTCGACTTTGAAATAAAAAAAAAACCTCCTTTTGTTATCATCTCTAATTGACTTTGTCGAGAACTTCAAATGGACCGCCGCCATCCCGCCTCTGCGTCACGACGCGTGTCTAAATGCCACGTGAAGTAATGCCAGCTTGCGTGGCTTTCTTCCAGCAATCTCACGGCGGCCTTCGAGCTCGTTCGGCAAAATGTCGCACAACCGATCCGCTGGAACTGCCCACGGCACTGGAAACGACTGCCCCTCGCATCTTGCGTGCAGCGGCCTCTATACGGGTAATTCGATCTTGGTCAGCCCAGCATCATCGTGTGGCTGTCGAAGAGGTAAAAAAATACCCTGTATTTTGACGAGTACTTTAATCAAAGAACTCTCGGTTATTTTTGGCGGGTATGAAGTTGAGTTGAGTTGTGGAGGTACAAAGAAAAGGGGAATGCCGGTTGAGATTTGGGCCTCCGATAGAGCCGCAGTCGTTCTGCTCGCACATCGTACAAACTAACCACGGTGTTTGTTGCAAACATGAGCGAATTATCTGAGGACGAACCTCAAGTGTGTCTGGAGCAGGTTTGATTCATAGATATGCATACGTTGCTAACATGTCTCCGGAGAGTTGTTGTATGACTGATGTGACAAGGTCGTTACACAAGGAAGAAACACGTCACTACAATGTCTCCATGCTGTCTTTTGTATGTGAAGAGCAAGTCGTCTGCTTCTTGCGCAGGAGTGGCGATGACGTGAAAACGACATCGAGCTCTGATTAACTTTGACTGAAGGGATAGCTGGTAGACCTCAATGCTAGATGCCTTGAAGTCTACCCACTAGATTATTTTTTTTTAATTGGCCAATGGGAGCTTAATATTCTGACATTTTCGCAACCCCTGTGCAAGAAGCAGAAGAACTTGCGCTCCGCATAATGAGAGAGGGGAAAACGAAAGAAGATCAAAGGAAACAGCCTACATTTAGTGATTTTCTTCATTTATTGGTCCTCCCCTTCCCCTTCAGGAGTAGATGATATATATCAAGCATGCATACATGATTTTATTCACTAATAAATGGTTTGATGACAGCGGTCATAAGCGGTGACCGCTCACAATCAAACGCAGATGTGTAAACGAGCCTTGACGCGTGCTTTGCCAGTTTCTTATTTTTTCTTTAAATCGACGAACACGCGCGTGCTCCGATCAGCCATTGTCTTCTGGTGGGACAGTCTATGAACACCGCAACGGTTTTTATATGTATGTATATTTGATGATCCATCAGTATCGCCGCTTCTCTCCGTCTTGGACGACGCCCGCAGCTTGGCACCGGACACGGGTTCCCCCGAGGCCTACTGATCGCTCGGATCCTCCACTGCGCAGACCAGCGCCTGCGAGCACTTCATCGATGGCGGCTGCAGGAGCATGGTCACCAACGACCAGACCTTCGAGGAACACGATTGGATACGCCTGGGTCGTACGCCGCATCGTATGTAATTACTATCTTCGTTTTAGTTTAACTTAGTTCAAGCTAGTAGACGAAAAGAAACTGAGTGAGAGGAGAAAATGAGACCGCGCGGGCACGTCAGAGCACCTAGCTCTGGTTGGAAGGATAGTGAGTAAACGAAAGGGCTAGCTGCCTTTTGTCCCTACCCACTGGCTCACTCCAGTCAAAGCGAAGGAAAGCGTCGTCCGCTCCTTGCGGAGTGTCTTACTTTCGAACACCTTCGAAAGTAAGACACTCCGCATGATCTTGAAAAGGGTGCCTATTGAGTACTAATCTACGGAAAATGAGTATCCAAATGATGAGAAGTATAAGCTTTTGCATTGAATTAAACGACTATTTTTTTATCAAATTCGGGCCTTTAGTTTTTGTTGACGCACACGACAAAGCAAAGCGAATTGTTGTGTGTATGTTTATACAGCCGGAAGTTAGTCTGCCTGAGTGGGCGTCCGGTGTCTTATCTGTAAATTATCAATCTAGCCTCTGTGGTACAACCGCTTACCTGGGGTTTTTACCGTGCATCACGCAGTAGGGATACACGACCGCACGCAGGCAAGATGCTCATCCAAACCGAAACGGGAACTGGTGGGGATTGAGCCCAGGGTCCCTGGGTTCTGCAGCGCGAGCTTTCGCTCCACGTGCTCCGAGCTGGTGTGCGCTAGCCCACTCGGTTACCGATTTCCCCCACACGAAAAATCCACGGAACCATAGCCATAAAGAGCTTCGCGGTAAAAGAGTAAAAAAGTACAGGAAAGCCATTGATGTCACGAATGAGTTGCCAGGAACAAGAGCTTTTGCGCATACTGCGAGGAGACCGCCTCGGAGACCCACGTTTTTGGGGACTGTCGCGGCACTCAAGAGACGAGGCATTACCACTTCAAATGCAACCGAAAAGCCTCGAAGAATGTGTCCTACCCACTTTATTCTCCGAGCATTGCAAGGCATACCTCGATTTCCTCCTAACATACGTGAAGCAGGCCAAACTAACACGATCCACCTAAAAA